GTCCCTTCCCTACCAGTACCGTACTGAGTCAGGAACCCCAGGAAATACTTGGGCCACTGTTGGGGTACTGGCCAGCCTATCTGGCCTGGATATGTCTGGATCATAATTGATCAAGTGGTTTTTCACTTAGGATCTGGCTGGAGGTAAGCTGTGCCTCAAGGGCTGGGCTCAGTGAGAGGCAGGCAGTCTCAGACAATGACACCTGGCAAACAAAGCCCCCTAGGCTCTCAGACACTGTTGTTCCTTTGTACTCTTTGCTGAAAAAAAAGAGAACATGTGTCCAGACTAAGCAGATCATGCCACTAGAGGGACTCAGTGCCCAGCACATTTAGCCACTCTCCGTGGTACCATCCCCTATCTCATACTGGGAACCAGCACCTTTGTTACCCATGCATTTATATGGAATCCTCAGGGTCTTGGTCTGTATTCATTAATACTGCCAAGATAATAAAGCTCTCTTCCTGCCCCTGAATGGCTTACAGAGCAACACGTAAGTACCAGGTGATATGAGGGCAACCTAGAGTAGCTGTTAATAAGCTCTAGAAGAAAAATGAAAGTTTAGGGTCAGCTGGAACCCTTAGAGCATTGAGGACTGAGCATGTTTAGATAAGCAGAGATTGGATTGGTAACAGAACCCAAGCCAGTATGAGCAAGATGCCCCAAAAGTAGCACTTTGTTCTAGAACAAGGATCCAGCAATCTAACACTTGAAAGCAGCCAGAGCTGAGAGAATATGGGCAGGTTTAGATCACTGGCCTCCTCTCCCTGCAGGCATGGGCTGCAATGAGTGCACACACCCTACCTGCCAGCATTCACTGAGCATGCTGGGCATTGGCCAATGCGTGGAGTGTGAGAATGGAGTCCTTGTTCTGGACCCCACTTCGGGTCCCAAGTGGAAGGTGGCCTGCAACACATGCAACGTGGTGGCACACTGCTTTGAAAATGCCCACCGAGTACGGGTATCTGCTGACACCTGCAACACCTGTGAGGCTGCCTTGCTCGATGTAGACTTCAACAAAGCCAAGTCTCCCCTTCCTGGCAACGAGACACAGCACACAGGCTGCATCTTCTGTGACCCGGTCTTCCAGGAGCTGGTGGAGCTAAAGCATGCAGCCTCCTGCCACCCTATGCACCGAGGTGGTCCTGGAAGGAGGCAGGGTCGTGGGCGTGCCCGGGGCCGGAGGCCTCCGGGAAAGCCCAATCCCAGGCGGCCAAAAGACAAGATGTCAGCCCTGGCTGCTTACTTCGTATGACAGCCCATCTTCCCACTCCAGCTCCAGTTTGGTGTAGACACATCATGATGGTGTCTTTGAGCCACTGAAACTATTAAAATACATTTTATTTTGTATTCTCTTGAGCAAAAAGCCTGGGACCTTTTACTGATGGTGGGTGGTAAAGGTGGGTGGGAGGCTCTATATCTATGGGAACCTGTGAGGATTCCCCTTTACCCTTCCATCCTGTGCATGTTTAAAGTGCACCCTGCTCTGCCTGCACCATGGCAATGCCAGCAATAAAACCACATCTTCTACAGTGGGGACAGTCTGTAGCTCATGCCAAGTGTATGCATGTACAGTGGTATAACCGGATACAACACAAGCCGTAGGCAGTCTAAGGTTAGCAGGAAGATGGACATCAGCAGCCCAGAGGAGTTGTGACGAGCCTGGTGGCGCAGGCAGAGCAAGGTGAAGTACTCAGCCTGGCTCTCAATCCTTACTACCTGAAGCCTAGCTTCCTGATCCTAACCCATGGCTTTATGGCCACCACTCAGAAACTGTATGTGACTAGGGTAACATGAGTCTGATTTGACTCCTATTCTCATCATGAGTCTGTACTGCCTCAGACAGGCAGCCACTAAGTACCTCACTAAAGCTGATCAAATGCAAAGTCTAGAAAATACTCTGTAAGCCAGACTGCTCTGGTAGTTGGGTGAGCTATACGCCACCTTTCTGGCTGCAACCCCTTCCTGTGTTTCCTCCTCCACCCACCTGGCATAGGTTCCTGTTTTAATTGTGGTAGAAACTGACTGCCCTCTGGCCATGCCTTGCCATGTGGTTGCTGGGACTTGGCAAAATAGCTGCCTAAGACAGCTCTGTAGAACAATTGGTTGAACCAACAGTATTCCTCATAGGAACCCTCACTCTGCAGTAGAGTCACAGTCACACAAGGCAGGTGTATGAGGAAGACTCGTGAGGAAGCCATAAGAGAGTCTCTTCACATGGCCCCGCCAGGACTTCTCCCTCCCTCCCCCATGACCATAAAAGATCATCCCCCATAGGGAGAAGTGATACCTTGGAAGAGCCACCCAGAGGTAGTGGACCAGGAAGCTGCATAGAAGTTGTTGGAATGTGTCCCAGTAGTACATGCTATAGGAAAAAAAAGGACACTCAGAAGTTATCCACTCCAATCAGAATCTGGGACCTTAATAAGGCCACATGTCTTGTTGAGTTGGATACCTAGCACAAGACTGTGGCTTTGCTTTTGGCCCAATTCCATCTTGACTAGACTGCAGGAAGGCAGCTCAGTTGTATAGTTAGTTTGGACTTGGGTCTTAAACCCATACTATCCATTCCACCTTTAAGACTACACTGAGGTTTCTTTCAACCACATGGGCCTCTTAATATGTCCCTTTGTTTTCCCTGAAATTGTCCCTTTTGTATGGAACTGCACTTTAAACCCCTAGCCACTTCACCTTCCATCATCAAGAGTCCAGCCTCGTTATCCTTGCTAACTTGTCAACTGGGAACAATTAGGACAAGCAGTGAGCCATGTTCTAAGTGTAAACTGTCTTTGGAGCAGCTATGTTCCTGGCATGACCTCTATTCTGGAAGCTGACAAGGTCAGAGCTGCAGGGCAGCCTGTGTTGGGTGAAGCAAGCAAAATCTTGGGCTAGCCCTCCTTGTCTTTACTTGTGGGTCATGGTGGCAGGGCCAGTGGTTTGTCCCCAGGCATTGCAGATCCCATTTCTCTTACCTTGAAGTGTACATTGACATGAGAAAGACTGTTTCATCAAGTGTAGCACCCTCCCAGCACTGTAGAAGGTACCATTACTTCTTTCTTATCCCTGTGAGAACAGTCAGTATCCAAGAGGGAGCCAGCAACCCATCACTAAGATTTCTAAGGCCACAAGTAATTTCTGGTCTCTGAGAATGGTGATACAGGCTGATGTGATGAGGTTGTTTGCATCCTGCAAACTGCTCAGAGCAGGCTTCTGGAAAATACTTTAGGAGGGCTGGGAGAGGACATGGATGGAAGATCTGGAACCTCCTGGCTCTACCCCACAGTTCCTGTAACTGTGGGTGTTCCTGTAACGGGAATAAATAAAAGGACTCAGACTGAGATTTTGTGGTTCAAACTTAAAGCTGAAGATCAGAAAAGCAAAGCAGCTGGTCACCAGCTCTCACCTCTATCTCAGGCTGAAAGGTTGATCCACGCACACACAAGCTCTCGCCAAGCCTCGAACTGCTGCCTCTCCTCAGTGTGGCTGGAGAATGGATCTTCTATCTCATATACTTCCCTAATGTTGGGATTAAAGGTGTGAGCTATAATTCTCTTTTAGACTGATTCCCTCTTGTGTAGATCTGGGTGGTCTTGGACTCACAGAGATCATCTCTCTCTTAATCCTGAGTCCTAGAATTAAAGGTGTGTACCATCACCTCCTAGTTTCTGTCTGCTGGCAGACTTTGCTTTCTGAATCTTCAGCCAAGCTTTAATAAATCATAAATAATGCATCACTACATGATCCTTGCTGGAGAAGCACAAGTTTAAGCTAAGCTGGTTGGTATAGCTAACACTGAAATTCTTTTGACAAGAATAATAGCTGAAAGCTTTGGTATAATGGACTGTAGACAAGACATTAATTGTGTTGACAGCAGCTTCAGGTCAAAAGAAATGTTGCAGATATGCCATTGGCCCTAACAAGGGTGAGTGCCTACCTTTGCTATCATCTCTGAGCCTCAACTTGAATTGTTATCTCCGCAAGTTAAAAGTGGCCTCAAACTTTGCTCAGATTGATTGATCCATGCTTCTTGCATAGCAGACAGACACTGTCCCCACAATGCCCACCCCACCAGTATCCACACCTCCAGGTGATTTCCTTTCAGAGCAGCCATCTACTGGTTCCCTGAAACCTTCCAATCAGAGAGGCAATGTAGTCTGATGTGTACTTGTCAGCACAGTTCTGAGGGGTAAACAAAACAAAATCAAACTGTTATAAAACCATAAGCTTCCCACACAGATTAATTTACAGGATTTCTTTTGTGATGTCACCTAAAACCAACCTTGTTTTGTTGTCTGTTTTTTGTTTTGTTTTTGAGACAAGGTTTCTCTAGGTAATAGCTCTGACTGTCCTGTAACTCCAACATGTAGACCAGGCTGGTCTTGAACTCACAGAGATGCACCTGCCTCTGCCTCCCAAGAGCTGGGATTAAAGGCGTGTGCCGTAGTACCACCACCTAACTTGTCAAACTTGTCTTTAAGGCTGCCTTTGCTACCCAATGTAGTAAGGAATATTTTCATTTCCTGTTTGATAACCCCAGGCCACTTACCTCACTCTCAGTGACCAGGCAGTCCTGCTGAGCACAAAGGCTCAGAGACCCTGACCAGAGTGAAACTTGCAGGGGTTGCTCCCACAATGTACAGAGGCATTATACGTGTCCATTAGTATTAAATGAATGTTTCCTTTGACCCTAAAGGTTATTTCCTTTTGGTTTTCAAAGAAAACACTCCCATGACCCTCTCATTTAAAAATAAAACAAGCAAACAAATGACCCTGAGGAATATAGCTCTTGTCTATGATTAGTGGCCAGTCCTGGGCGATATGTAGCTTGCATCCCTGCCCTGCGGCTGATCACCACTGTTCAATTTCTGAGAGTATGAAGCAAGGACTACTTTCTGCCTTCTCAAGGCTGGAGGAGTGAAGCAACTCATTGGCGAATGGAGCACGTCTGCTCCCAAAAACAAGAAGGCTAAGAGGCCGCCAGGGGGCAGCAGAAGCCTACTCGAGACCCGACTGCGCTTGCGCAGAGCCTGCGGCGCCCCAGGACGGGAAGTAGGCGGGGCCGGCCCAGAGCAGCTCGTGGGGAGCACTGCGGCAGACTGGCAGGTGAGGCCCGAGGGGTGCTAGGAATGAAGGGTGAGGGGGCAAGACTCGGGCTTGAGTGGCGGTTAAGTGGGGGCATGAGGGTGAAATGAGACTGAGAACTAAATGGAGAGGCGAGAAAGCACTGAAGCCAAGACGGATTTTCGGTGCCTGAACATGGGTGGGTAAGAGTTAGCAAAAGAGCGGGACAAGCGGCAGGGACCCTGCGGAACGGAGGCAAAGCATGGGGAGCTAAGGAACTGGGAATCCATTAACCCCATAGGATGTGACTGAACCGTGGTCCAGGAGGGGCCTGAGCTGTGAGACAAAACAGAGTACCGAGGGATGACAGTCCTCCGTTTCAGGGCTCTCTCATTCTCCCCCCTCCCCAAACATGTGGGCCAGGCCCACGGCCCTGCCCTCAGCCCGACCAGAGAAGGCCCCCTCCGGGACCACATTTTCAACCTGAATGCCTGGCCCGGTGGCGTTCATGCGTGTGTTCAAGCTAGCGTTTTAGTTAATGCCTGGCTTGGAGGCTGGGACTGAAGCTGTTTAGCTTGCGGTAGAACCTCAGTCGCAAGAGCCTAGCCTGGGGCGCCACCATTACATCTGCATGGTCTCAGGCCAGCTGCTAAGCTCTCTGTAGTGAGGAGAGAAGGCACAGAGGCTGTAGGAATTTCTGCACTAACATCTAGGGAGGCCCAGCACAAGGCCAGAAGGCGGTGGTCTCTTCCACCAAGGCCTTCTACTTTGAGGCCCCTTGAGTAACAGATGTGTTCACAGTATACCCTGGAACAAGTTCTGTGAATTGTTCCACCCGAGGAAATGAATGGGAGCCCATCTCTGCCTCATGGTCTCTGTGCTCATATCACTCCCTTGTCAAATTTCACCTTCCCCCCCCCCCCCCCGCAACAAATTGGGACGGACATGCCCAATCACTGAGCACCATAAATCAGCTGAGTCCTGCTCTGGTCACATCTCTGGTTTGTGACATTAGAGTAGTACTTTTCCTCCTAGCACCTGGTTTTTTTCAGCTGCAGTGTCATCTGATGACATGCACAGTTCTGAGAGATAAACAGAACAATTGTTTTAAAAAACACAAACCTCCCACAGCAGATTAATTTTCAGAATTCCTTTGTGATGTCACCTGAAGCCAACCTTGTCTTTAAGGCTGTCTTTGCTACCCATGTGCTAAGCGAGTGTTTTCTATTCCTTTTTGATAGCTCCAGGCTTCAGGCTGCTTGCTCACAGTGGCCACTCAGTTTTGCTGAGCACAAAGGGCCAGGGACCCTGAGCACATGGAACTTGGGATCCATTGAGAAAGAAAATGACCATATAATAATATGGCTGTCTTTGTTGCAGCAGAATTGCCCGTTGAATAGGGTTAAAATGGGGAATGGGTATGACTGGGATAGAGAGCATCCTGAGCTTGCACAGGGCCATGGGTTGAATCTCCAGCACCAATAGAAGGGAAAAAAGTATTTTTAAAGTGGGGTTTCCTTTTGGGTGTGTGTGTGTGTGTGTTGTTGTTGTTGTTGTTGTTGTTGTTGTTGTTGTTGTTGTTGTAACTTGCTCTGTAGACCAGACTGACCTGGAACTCCAAGATCCCTGCCTCTGCCTCCCAAGTATTGGGATTAAAGGCATGCACCACTGGCCAGCTGGTTTTTCTTTTTTAAGACAAGGTTTCATTCAGTAGCCCAGGCTTGTACCAAACTAGTGACAATTCTCCTGCTTCAGTTTCCCAATGATGGGATTATAGGCATGAACCACCACCCCAGGCTAAAATGGTATTTTTTTTAATTTATATCTTACCACAATATTTATAATAAGCATTTTAAATATAAATGAAATCCTCTCCTTATATGAAGTAAAAGATTGGTTAAGATCTTTGGTTATTCCTAGTAGTCAGTTACAAATAGAGAAATGAGTCCTGGAGCTAGGGCTAGAACTCTGTTGGTGGACATGCATGATCAACCCCAGCATCTTGTAAACCAGATGTGGTGTAACACCTATGATCCTAGTACTGAACAGGTGGAACAGGTGGAAGCAGGGAGGTCACAAGATCAGGGTCTGAGGAGCAGCTGCCAGCTCATAAGTATAAAGAGGCACCACTCCAGAACCAGCCAAGTGTCACATTTGGCCAAACCAGTCAAGGCCATGCAGCCAGGGAGTCGGAGTTTGGTGTCCCTCCCCACAGGTCCTTGCTTAGTGACTTGCACACACTCATGCACATGTCCCTCTCATCCTGAGCCCTTAACACTGGGAGGACACCATTGATTTTCAGACAGCCCCACATCAGGCCTGACACTTCTGTTCTGCCCCACCCCTGTTCTCTGCAGACTCCTTTGTCCAGCTGCTGACTACCAGCCAGCTACTCCTCTCCCCTCCAGTGACCCTAGTAGTTCCATGCCCCTCGCCATCCTTCCTCCTGCTGTCTGAACCTTTCTCTCTGGGTTTAGGATTCCCAGAGCTTGGTTGTTTCATGTAACTTGGAAAAGCATGCATCAGATTTAGGAGTTGATCAGAAAAAGAGAAGACAAGACCTTTGCCTCAGCTAGGCCCCAGGGAAGAAAAACTGGCCTGGTTCTTCACCATGGCCCAAGCCACACAGTGCAGAAATGGCCACAGCAGGCAGAATTTCTCTGGGCACACTGCCTTAGTAGTGCAAGTGAACAGTCAGTACAGGCCCTGAGAGCAAGCCAGCAGATGTGAGCAGAGCTTTGCACAAGAGTGCAGAGCATGGTGCCTTGCTGCCCAAGCCCCACTCAGCATGCATGGTGCAGATAGCCTTGGGTCCCATAACAGATCCTGAGCCTAGAGCAGAGAGCACAGGGCAGTGAGAGCAGGTGTATGCCAGATACATTAAAGGTTTGGGTCTACAATGCTACTGTGCAAAGAGGATAAGCCCAGCCTCCAAGGAAAAGAGGTAGACTGGGGAAGGACTCCCAGTGCAGGAAACAGCCCACTGGCAAAGGGTAGAAAGAGGCACCTGCCTTCTGAAGCATCTAGTAGATAAAGTGGCAGGTAGGGTGATGCTGTGGGCAGGATTTCACTAATTGGGCTTCCTGTGTGCTTGCTCTGGGGTATGAGCATGTTATCCTTTCACTTTGATCCTAGTCATAACTTTATGTTAGCCCATTTAGCACTGCCGGAGATTTTGGTGCCTCTAGGTCTTGTAGAACTGCAAGGAATAATCCAAATGCTTGTCACTTGCTTGGGGACAGCTTTGCAGGATTCACACTTCTGTCCCTGCAGAGTAAAAGGCACTTGGTGGATTAGGTACAGTGTGACACTTAGCCTGGGCCTCTTGGAAATTAATGCCATCTCTTTGTCTCCATGCTCTACAGCTCTGCCTGTGTACAAGCTGACTACTACCTGTTGTCCATCCCTTCAGCCCCTAGCCCAAGTCCCACTGGGTTCTTCTTTTCCTGTCCTACCTTTGGGTTAGAATGGATCTGTCTCATTCCCATCCTAATCTTTCCTTCTTTGCTTTATTTATACTGTATCTTTTTACCTGCTCGGTCTTTGTAACCCAGGCTACATTTTATTAACTTGTAAATAAATCTGAGTGTAGACAATGAATTTTAACTCTAACAAAACCTTTAATTAAAAAAAAAACTGCTGTATCTATATTTTTGTTTGTTACAAAGCTACTTTTAATACTTTGGGGTATGCCTCATAGGAATGGAGGAAAAAAAAAAAAAAAAAAAAAAACACCGGTAAACCCTCGCCTCCCAAAGGGAAAAAGGCTACCTGAAGGAAAGGGAACACAAAAAGGACCCACTTTAGGGTCAAGGTCAAGACAAAGGACAAAGGGAATGTGCTGGGACCTGTGAGCACTTCAGGAGGAAGGGGAGCATGATGGGATGAGCTCCATACAACACAAAGGATGATGGGATGAGCTCCATACACACAAAGGATGATGGGATGAGCTCCATACACACAAAGGATGATGGGATGAGCTCCATACAACACAAAGGATGATGGGATGAGCTCCATACACACAAAGGATGATGGGATGAGCTCCATACACACAAAGGATGATGGGATGAGCTCCATACACACAAAGGAAAGTTGAACACAGCCTCTTAGGGTCCTCCTCATTTGCCTTTTTCTGCTTCTGCAGCATGATCTCTGAGTCCCTCTGTTGGCAAGTGGCAGCAGGAAGTCTGTCATCTCTTATTCCCTTAAACTCACTGGTAGATGAGCTCAAACTGCCTGCAGTAGACTGCAGTACAGTATCCTGTCTCTGTCACATCTCCTCTCTCTTTTCAGTGTTGGAGGCTGTTTGGTTTTTGAGACAGGGTCTCTGTAGCCTGGCCTAACTTGGAAATTACTATGTAGATCAGAATGGCCTCAAACTTGTGGCAACCCTCTTGTCTCTGCCTCCTGAATGTTGGGATTACAGGCATTTGCCACCATCAGCCCATAGCTTCTGTTTGTGTATTTTTAAAAACTGATTAATCCCAACCCCTGAAGAAAGAAAGAGGTGTTGTGTTTTGTTTGCTTATCACTTGTATCAGTTACTTTTCTTGTTGCAAACGAGTACTTGACAAATGGGACTTAAGGTTTTCAGTTTCAAGGAATACAGTCCATGATGGCAAGATAATCTTAAAAAGGCAGCTGGTCACATTGTGTCCACAGTCAGGAAACAAGAGATGGATGCTGGGCTTAGCTGGTATACTTCATTAATTAGTATAGGACCCCAGCTGATAGAATGCAGTTGACCTTCTAACTTATACCCATTTTATCACTTTGAAGATCACCATTTGTTTCCTCTGATGGTAAACACATTGGACTCTTACTGTAATGAAAATCCCTAAGGCAGAATATTAAGTAGAGTCCCCAAAGGTGCCACATCCTTGGTGGGGCTAGGCCTGGGGTGTGACTGACAAAAAGCAGTGACTACAGAGAGGGTCTGTGCAAGCAAATGCTGGCAGGGAGGTTATCTTCCCGGTGTGATGGCAAGTGGGGCTCTGCTCCCATACCAGGGGAGGGAGGGACCAAAGCACATCTCAGACATCATAAAAGGAAGGCAGAAGGGATTGATGTGTGGCCTGGTAGAACTGGGCTTGCCTTGCTGCATGAGATGAGACCTTGGGCTCAATTTCCAACACCACCAAGGAAGAACAAAACAAGACATAAGCAAGAAGACACTCAAGTATGAATCGAGTCTGGGTGATTGTAAAGGAAGATAGAAGTCCATTTGGGTCATCAGGTATCTAAATGGGTGACAGACTTAAAGGACCAGCAAGGCTTGGATATTAAATATAGAAGGGTTGGTTGACAGTGCCAGAGAGCTACATGAGAGCTAAAAACCCACCCCAGGGAAAAGGACAGGGTACAGCTATCAACTTGCAAGGGTCCTGGGCATTTAGTGTACCTTGAATGTGAAAAGGCCCGTGTGGGTAGTGACAGTCGGTGGCTCAGGCATGTGTTCTTCCAAGCCCTGTTCTTATCCTGAGACCTTGGGCAGGGAACTACCTTCTCCAAATCTTGTTGAAATGGGGATTTAACCTGGCTTTGCAGAGCTTGGGGCCACACTCAGGACCTGGCAGTTACAGTGCCCTCAGTGTCCTTAATAGTGTGGGAAGAGGCTGGAACTCATGTCACCAGCTTCAGGAGCCTGGGGTGTTCTAAGCCCTTGACGCACACTTCCTGTTAGAGAGCAATTAATAGACCTGACCACCTCACAAAGGCCCCTTATCACTGGCTAGCCCTCTGCTTCTCCCCATCAGGTAGCCCCAGAGGTACCTGGGGAGCCCTTCTTGCTCCTAGTTTGCTCTGTCTCCCAAATAACAATGCACTGATAGCCCCTGTATGTCAGCTCCTCTGTTTCCCACCACTGCTGCGGCCTGGCCTGTGTCCCTTTTTGCCGGCTGGTGAATTATTGGCATGCTGGCATCACTTTTTCCCTGGGCCCTCCTAGCTACTGGCATCCTGAGATCTGGTTAAACCCCTTTACCTACTTTGATGACCTGGTCCTGGTGTCCCTCTCCTGCTTGCCTCTGATCAACCCCACCACTCTGCAGGGAACATACATTCCCTTTGTCACTTCTTTGAAATGTCTTCATGGCCTGCTTCTGATAGCATCTCCTGAGGCTGCTTTCTAAGCAAGCATGTTTATCCACTTGAACCCATGTCAGGATACTAATGGGATTACCACTCCATTAGCTGTGTTCCCTGAACTATTTAGACCCAAGACTTGTTGAGGTGGTACCTGCCTCATCTTGCATGCTGGTGAAAGAGACAAAGCAGGGCACATGTACTCCACGTCGTACAGAACTGCCACCCTGTGATCTTCTAACTCTGACATCTCTTCCCCAGAGTGAAGACTGACTGGTGACCATCTCACCCCAGCCTAATTGCTAGCACCTCGGAATGCACTGGGCATGGCCTCTGCAGCCCCACAGAACAGCTGCCAGATGGCCTGTGACAGCGAGATCCCAGGCTTCCTGGATACCCTCCTCCAAGATTTCCCAGCCCCACTGAGTCCTGAGAGCCCTTTGCCATGGAAGGTCCCAGGAACAGTACTGAGCCAGGAAGAGGTAGAAGCAGAGCTGGCTGAGCTGGCAATGAGCTTCTTGGGCAGCAGGTAGGCTTGGGCTGCCTCAGAAGAGAGGAACTTGAGGGAAAGAAGCAGGGAGCAGCATTGTCTTTCTGGTGCTGATCTTGACCTCCTAGGTCTCATGAGAGTGGCATGTTCACCCCTTATCAGTAAGGGTCCATTCCAGTAGAGCCTGAAAGTTCAGAGAGTGATAGGCCCTGTTACTCAGTGCTTTTCCTCCTGAGTGTGCACTGAGCAGCATAGGCCAGGCCCTTAGCAGACAGAAGACTCATTCAGCATAGGTCTTAGCAGTCTCAGCATGACTGGGGATGGGGTACTCTTGAATTTCTTGTTTCCTTTCAAAACGTCCTCCATCTCATTTAAAGGGGAAGCTTTATGGTTTCTCTTCACTGTCTGAATGCTATTACTACTCCTGTGCTGTGCAGCTATTACTGAGTAAAATGGGGCCCTTTTGAGCACTGGTACTAGGATAGGTGCACTGGACAGACATGGTTAGGGTTCCCCGTGAGACAAGCACATGGCTAAGCGTCCATCATGCCACTCATAATAGTTTGCCTATTTCAAGTTATTTCTTCCTTATTTCTGCAGTTGGGTTTTTTATTTTACTAATTTTATTTTATGTGCATGAGTGTCTTGCCTATATAGACAGAGAGAGATGTGTGCCACATGCCTGCCTACAGATGGTTGTGAGCCACCATGTAGGTGCTGGGAACAGAACCCAGGTCCTTTAGAATAACATCTAGTACTCTTAACCACTGAAATGTCTCTCCAAACCATACATTTTTTCACTTAGTGTTTCCAACTCATTGTTAAAAGTAATTGGAGAAATAGAAAGTGCAACTTTGAGATAAGGATGCTCCTGTGAAGACGTCCTGTGGCTGCAGTAACAAAGTATTACAGTTGAGGCGGTGGAAACAGGGCCAGAAACAAAAACCAAGGTACAAACAAGGCCTTGCTTTCTAGAGGTCATGGGGAATTGTTCTAGGACTCTGGTGGTGACTGCTTAGTGCTCCTTGGCTCTTAGACTCAACTCTCTGGTAAATTGCCTTTATTATCATGTGTCATTCTCCTTATCTATGTAACCTCACTTTGCATGGGTATGTGTCACCATTACCTGTGGTATGAGCCTTGTGTGTAACTTGCATTGTTTGCAGCAGTTTCCCAGCATTCACAGTCACCCATGTGTACACACATGGTTACTTTGTGCCTCACAGACCCTATTGCCTTGCTCATGTACCCCACAGCCAATTTAGAGTTGGGGTTACAAAGGGGTTTGGTTTGGTTTTGTTTTGACAGGGTCCTTCTGTGTATCCTTGGCTGTCCTGGAATTCACTCTGTAGACCAGGCTGGCCTCGAACTTAAAGAGATCTGCCTTCCTCTGACTCCTGAGTGCTGGGATTAAAGGCATGTGCCACCAACACCTAGCAAAGGTTTCTAACACATTGATCCATTGGCTCTTCTTTTGGATTTTAAGTTGTATTTCCTCTGAGATCATCCAGAAGTCCTATCTCTGACCTCTGAACTTTGCACTCATTTTCCTTTCCTCTCCTTTTATTATGATTTCATTGTTACATCTTTAGGTAGCAATATAAAACTTACACTCTAATTATCTAGATGTAGTTTTCATCCTGTTACATTGTAGGCTTCTGGTAATCCTTGAGGTAGCCATTTCCAAGGCACAGTATCCTCTAGCCAGATTTAAGAGCTGCACTCCCAAGACCAGGGCTGACATTTGTAGTGTGCTGATGGGGGAGGAGGGGCGGCTCCCGAACACTTCCATGGGTGGGTCCCTGGAATAAGGAGGAAGCCTTGTCCAGGAAGGAAGTGCTGGTGGCTAGAGGCCAGGCATTGTCTATGTCTCCATGGCTGGAAGCTGCTTCCCTGCCCCCTACAAATATAGCAGCCAGTGGGCAGGAAGCTTCATCATGACCTCACCAGGACCAGATGAGCAGGTACCCTCTCCCTGCCTCTAAAGGAAACCCAGTGCCTGGCAGGAAATGCCTCAACACAGGGGGAATTTGTTCTCATGGCTTGGCTTACTCTCCGATGCACTATTCATTATTTGGGGTGGGGAATGTGGCAAGAGTAGAGTAGCATGGAGATGCAACCCAGGGGCTCAGCAAGGTAGGCAAGGGCTTTATCGCTGAACTGCAACCCCTCTCAGCTGCTTTCTTTTCAAAGGCATTTCCAGAGGCCTCTCCCTGAGTCGCTCTCTGTGGAAAAATTCAGCTCACTGTACAGGTCCAAAGACTCGGTAGCAGAACCTGGCAGTGCTGTCATATAATCTCAGTGCAGGAGGGTTTACAGCTCAGGCCTGCCTAGGATACAGGGTAAAATTGAAGGGCCTGGATGACAACTTGGCTCTAAAAGTAAAAAGAAAGCTGTGACAGACTTTTGCCTAGCCTGAAGGAGTCTCTAGGTTCAATCTCCGGTTCTCTAAAACTAAAGGCCATCATCAGTAGGTGACCAGTCCCCTTAGGATATGAGTCATTAGCCAGGCTCTTGGAAGGTCATTGTTCTTGTCAAAACTGAAGTGTCAGCCTGCCATGACAGTGCATGAATTTAACTCTAGCTCTCTAACTGAAGAGGCAGAGGTAGGAGAATTAAAAGTTCAAGGTTAGCCTTGATTACATAGCAAGCTTGAGGCCAGCCTGAACTACATGAGATACTGTGGGTTTGTTGTTGTTCTTGTTGTTTCTTAGAAAAGAAAAAAAAAAAAAAAAAAGACAGTAAAGGGGCTAGGGAGATGGATGGTTTGGTGTGTAAAAGTGTTATGCAAGCCTGTAAGATCCCCAGAAACCACGTAAAAGCTGGACATGTCTGCATGTACATGGAAACCCCAGTACTAGGGCATAAGATCCCCAGAAACCACGTAAAAGCTGGACGTGTCTGCGTGTACATGGAAACCCCAGTACTAGGGCATAGGGACAGGTAGATCCCAGGAGCTCAGTGGCTTTTAGGTTCAGTGAGAGACTCTGTCTCAAGGGATCCAAGAGAGTGTGGTAGAGCAGGACATCTGCTATCCTCCCCTCGCCTCTGCAGAAACGTGTGCTTGTGCACGCATGTAACATTTACAACACATGCATATACACACAGAAAGAGAGAGAGGTAATGTAAAAGCCAGTATAGTAGTTCACAGCAGTAATCCCAGTAGAAGCAAGGAGGTGAGCCTGGGCTATATGGCTACTTCAAAGCCAGCCTGAGCTACAAAGTAAAACCCTATCTCTCTCTCTCTCTCTCTCTCTCTCTCTCTCTTTAAATTAAAGCCTTTTAATAGCCCGACTGTCAGCCATGAAGACTCAGCCAGATGCCTTTTGGACTAGGTGCCCTGGGCTAGAACACACAGTCTAGCTTCTAGTCTAAAGTTGAGGTGTGTCCTAGAAGCTTTTGAGGCCCCAGGAAGAGTGATTCCTCTGCCAGGGACTTAGGGCACAGAGACCAGCCATGGAGAGGCACGTGTCCTCAGCCGGCAATCTTCACTGCCCCTGGCTACAGCAGACGTGTCTCTTTTCCAGGCTTTTCTTCTTTGGTCCCTTGTCCCATTTTGCAGTGCTGCCTGCCCCAAAAAGAAACTGACATTTCCTCTCTCCTAGCTGCTATCAGTGTGAGGCAGTGTTCCTTTCTGCCCTCCTGTACTCTCTTCATTCTTCTGTGACTCCAAAACAATCTGCATTCCTCAGAACCTTTCTTCTGTGGTCCCTCCCATTCCACCAACTCTTCCTGGAGCTGGGCCTCCCAGCCATCATTCCTCCTGGGTTATGTTTCCAACGAAACCATGTTCCCACAACTCCCCAGGTCTCCTGAACTCTGTAGAACTTGTGAAACAAAACTTCTTCCTCAGCCAGACATCTTGATTCTCTCTGTCCCTCCTTCTGATCCACTCTGAATCAGCTTCCAGCACTATTCTATTCTGTCTCTATCTATCACCAAATCTCCCTGCCCAGCCCTTAGGCCTTGGCCTCTCTAGACTGTTGTCACCAGCATTCAGCCCACCCTACATGGGCTCAAAGAGATCTAACAGCAAAACAGACCAGAGTTCCCTGTGGCCACAGCCTTCCTCACCCCCAGCTCCCTCCCCCACAACCCCAGCAGCTCAAAGACCCTAAGCTGTACAGCTCCTACTGGGCAGCATGGGTCATCTGTCAGGTAGCACCTCCTACCAGCAGTTTCCTGAGGCTGTCATCTGTAAGCACACAGACCAGATACCCATCATCATAGTCATCATGGTCTCACAGGATGGAGGCCAAATAGAGGTGAAAGTGTCAGCTTGGCTGAGCCCCCTTTGTGATCTGCAGATAATCATGGACATTCCTTGGTGTGTAGGTTCACCCCTATATCCCTGACCTATAGCTACATGGCTTTCTCCTCATGGGTGTATCTGTGTCTATATTCACTCCTCTTCACAAAGAAGCCAGTCATATTAAAGCAGGGGCCCATCCCACTCTACCATAATCTCATCTTTACTTGTGCCATCCCGTTGACCCTACTTATAAGACAGATCCCATCTCAGGCAATAAATGTTCAGTCTTCAGCATATGAATTAGGGATACAGTTTAGCTCATAACATGCCCTGGTCCCAAAGGTCACCGGCTTGAAAATCTGAGCAGATTCCTGGCTAATGAGATTCACATGCCTCAAGGATACCTTCCCAGCAGATCCTATCAGATGGTGCACCTCTGGTGTTGTGTAAACATTCATTCCAGGTCCCAAGAAACAGATATCACTTGCTTGTAATAACACCTCAGTGAGGGTATGAGCCATCATCTCCATCTCCAAAATGGAAGATGCCAGGCCTCGACTTTGCTGAGAGCTGCTCCAGCCTGCCTGTCTTTTCCCTAGGAACGCTCCCCCACCATTCGCTGCAGCTGTGACCCACAAGGCAATTTCCCAGCTCCTACAGACAGACCTTTCTGAATTCAAGAAGTTGCCTGAACAAGAGGAAGAGGAGGAAGAGGAAGAGAAAGCCCTTGTGACCTGTGAGTTCCTCTCATATGGCTCTAAGACTGTTAGCAAGGGCAGAGTCAAGTTGACACTAATGGTCAGTGCCCAGGGTGCTGTCAAGACAGCAAGGTCAAAGTACAAAGAAAATATGACATGGCAGTACAGAACCTGCAGTGGGTACTGCCCAGTGCCCAGGTCAGAGCCTCCAGTGAGGCAGGCATCTGGTTGGTACCAGGCAACACCTTTGTCTTCTCTTGGTCATACTTCAGAGCCCTTAGAAATGAATGGTGCTTGTCCTACTTTACACATAAAGCCAAGGTGTTGCCATACAGCCAACCTCACCTGTGCTTGCTGCTCTCCCTTAGCAGTGTGGCATGTCCACCCATGGAGGGGAGCAGCTGTTGTCTAGGCCCCCTGCCTTGACTTAAAACCTTAGTTGAGACCATTAGCTGCCAGCACTCAGTGATCCCGTAACCATGAGGTGGCAGAGGCGGAGGCTTACATGTCTGCTGCTAGTGGAGCAACAGTGGGTTGGGCCCTAAAGAGGTAGTCACAACCAGAGGGACCCAGGGACTGGAGCCAGTGCCAAGGCCATTTGATGGAGAATATGTTTGTAAGAATACAAGGCTCTTACTCTGCATAATAACTCTTTCCTAGTCTTTTGCCAAGGTGTTGGTTATTGAAGACCAAAGGTGCCAGGAAGGAAGTGGCAGCTGGAGGAATGCACCACACATCCCTGGGCATATTTTCCAGACTGTAGGAAGCAGGGTCTCCTTCACTGCTGCTTTGGCATAGAAAGAAGAACAAAGAACACAATAGAAGGAAAAGAAAGCTAGATGCAGCCTCTAGCACTTGTGTCTACCAGCCACCCTCCCCACCTCTAATTCTGGCATCCTCCCCAACTCCCTGGCAGCCTTCATCCCAGCATGGCCTTGCCCCTCTGCCTGGGAAACAGCTATCCACAATGACAGGCAGCCATTGTTCTCTAAATCCAGCAGGCTTCCAGCCTGGTCCAGGGCCCCACAGAGTAAGCACCCCCACCTTATGCCTCTAGAGAGGAGACAGCATCACCTGCTGGTAGGAAGGAGATTTGCAGCTGACAAGCCCTGCCTTCCACCAAGGCTTGTGGAGAAGGGAGGAGCCTGCCCCGCCCTCCCTGTCTGTTTCAGCTACTGTGCAGGCCTAGGCTTGTGGCAAGTCTGTAGTTTCCCAGCTGTTCTTGCCCAGCTATATCAACACATTCTGTGAGGCTGACTGCCACAGGCAGACACGTGACTACAGCATCTTTGCCCACCTGCCAGCAGCTTCCCTGTGGCTATTGTGAAGAAAGACCTTCCAGGCAGTTCCTGAGGCTCAGGCTCATCCCTTGGCCAGGAGTCAGGATAGGGCCCCAAGAGCCCAAGATTGCACATTACTGTAGGACCTGCCGCCTCACTTTTTAATTAAGCAAAATTCAAGTCCAAACCTGATGCTGGAAATAGCAGTATAATCCAAGACTGAAAAGGAGGCAGCCCAGGCCTAGAGGCCCTGGCATACTCAAAGCTTCCTAAACACCAGCTGTTTACAGGAGCGAGGAGACTATGGCAGCACCCAGGGCGAGAGCGTGTGTCGTACTTTCTACAGAAGAAAGAAGGAAAACCCTAGGCAGTGACTTGGTTGGAGACAGATGGATAAGGAAAACAGGAGTTCACAGGAGGTTGCACTTAGAGCTGTGGTCCCTAGGTTGGGCCTAATAAAGTCAGTTCTCCAGCTCCTCAGCCTGCCACTCCCACAGCCGTTGCTAAATGCTTGAGTGGTGCCCTGCCCTGGACATGATGCCATGCTCCCACCTTGATGGAGGGTCCTGGTGGCCTTGTCGTTTTCCCTGCTCATTGCTTTTCTTCTGTGCCTCCCCCAGCTTCCTTCCACTGCTGCTCCTTTCTTCCACAGCCATACTTCCGACTAAGAGTACTTCTCCCAACTCTCGTTGTCCCTCTGTGGGATGGCTTTTGATGCTTGAACTCAGTGGTTTTCGGTTACCTGACTTTGCAATACACTTTTAGCTGGTGGCTCTGACTCGTGTATACCTGCCACTTATCCCAGACTGCAGGAGGGCTTCTGCTTTGAGATAAAGTGAGGCCTGAAAGCTTAGTCCCAGAAGTCTCCTTTGAACTTGACCCTTGGTGATCTCTTCTTAGAAGCTAGGCCTTGTGGGACGTTTTCCTTTTAAAGTCTGCATCAAGCCTGCAGCAGCAGCTTCTCAGGTCTGATGCTCACTCGGGAATGTCTCGCCCCCCCCCCCCCCCCCCCGCTGACTAAAGCAGCAGCGGAGTTCAAGGTCACATGGGGCGAGCACTTGTAATGGAGAATTGGGAAAGTATTAAAACATTGTACATGTGAGGATCACATAAGCAGTCCTGAGGTCCTGCTGCCTGTGTCTTGATTGTATAGAGACAATTTCTGCCTTTTTTCTTTCTTTTTATTTTTCTGTAACTATGTGATTTTGTTTCATATACTTGTGAATAGTATTTTCTCCATTTAAAATCATCATTAACAGTTTCACATTCTTATGAACTTTGTAATGTCTGTTTCTATGTTGCTGTGTAGTTTGTTTGTGGTGCTAGAGTCTAACTCAAACCTTGGGTGTGCTAGCAGAGGCTTCTGTCATCAGGCTTTATGTTTCCTGCCCTAACTGGATTTTTTTTTTTTTTTTCTTTTTCTTTTTTTGGTTGCTTGCTTGATTGTTTGGTTCAGGGCTTGGGTGGGGATGGGGATGGAGAGTTGTTCTATTCTGTTCCATCCTTTAAATGAACTTTGTTTTGAAATAATCATAGGTACACATGCAGTTAATTGTGGAAACTAATGCAGAGATATTCCAACTGTACATGACCCAGTTTCCTCCCTGGAAAATATACAAAATTTTAATAGTATGTCACACACAGGATCTGAACATGGTCAGGCCCAAGACAGTTTCTTTATCGAAAGAATTGTGCATGTCACCTTCTACAGACCATCCTAACACACCTCCCCTGCTATATCCAGTCCCTACAACTAGCAGTGACTGGTTTTCTCCATTTCAGCAATGGCATTTGAAACAAGCCTGGCATTTGGGGAGTAGATCTTTCATGTGGTGTGATTCTCTGGACACTTGTCAGTGCTTTTCTCAGTTCTCCTGATGAGCCCTCACCCAGGTGTAGCTGCCAAGCCATGTGTAGGTTGGAGGGAATCTGGACAGACTACAGATTTGGGCTATTACAGGTGAAGCTAGTATGAGTCATGTGGTGTTCTCAGAGGAACGGTTCAAGTTTTCCTGGGATTCATGCCCGGGAGTACAGTTGCTGGTTTAGATGATAGTTGTGTGTTTAGTTGTGGAAATCTTTTTAACGGCAGCTTAACTTTTCATCAGAACAGGCAGAGTTCACTTATTCCTCTGTCATTGAACCTAAGTATTCTTAGTTGATTGGCAGTTACAAGACTTTTTTTTTTTGTCACCAGCGACAGGCTTTCTTGCATAGTTTATAGGTTAGTGTGCTAAGCATGCCCTGGTTGGTGAGGTGGGGCTCATGAAGGCTGTTGAAAGGAGCTATTTAAAACCTGGAAACATGGCAGGAAAGGAGTATGGAGTTAAGCCTCCGTTGCATGATTTTACTTTTTGGTTAACTATTTCTCCATCATGCCCATCAGTGCTAGATGCCAAAGGCCTGGCTCGGAGCTTCTTTAACAGGCTTTGGGAAGTATGTAGCCAGTGGCAGAAGCAGGTGCCATTGACTGTCCAAGCCCCTCAGCGACAGTGGCTGGTCTCTATCCATGCCATCCGGAACACACGGCGCAAGATGGAGGATCGACATGTGTCCCTTCCTACCTTCAACCACCTCTTCGGCTTGTCTGTGAGTGTTGCACCTGCAGAGCCCAGGAACGGGCAGTATATCAATGGGGTAGGGGGCTGATGAGCTGCCAGCCAAAGCCAAGCCTGGGGAAATACTGAGAAATTGCTAGCTTGGGGCTGAGTACTAGGCAGCTCTCAGAGTGCCACCTGGGGAGCCTGAAATGCTAACTCACAGCACCAAGCTTCCGGGCGCATTCCTTTCCATGGCCAAAGCCAACAGTTGACCTGTGTTTTTTATATAAAGAGGCCAGGTGCTATGTTCAGACTTGAATTGCTGAGCCTGTACCAACACACACCTCCTGATGCATCTTACCTTGGGTTATATCTGCAGTAGCCTGGTAGAGTTGTTGAGACTGAGACCTTTCCCATGCCTCCCTGTTTGCTGTACTTGCGCAGTTTGACTTGTCTGATGGAAAGGGCATTGCCAGTTCTTCTAGACCCTACCTGTCTTGGGTCTGTTTTGTTGCCTGAGGCTGGATCATCTATAAAAAAAAAAAAAAAAAAAAAAAAATGTATTTCTTACTACTCTGGAGACTGAAAGGCCTTAGGTCAAGGGGCTGCATCTGAAGAGAGCCTTCATGCTGATGGGGAACTCTACAGAACACCAAAGCAGTGCAAGCCACCACATAGCAAGACAGAACACATTTCCCAAGGAGGAAAACTACTCCTTGATAGCCCATTCATGCCTAAGTGAATTGATCCCAATCGCTCCCAGAGATCTCCCTTACATGGGGGGGTTAAGTTTCCAGCATAAGAATGGTGTGGTTGCAACCATAATGCTGCCCTAGCTACCCCCTGGAGAACACCCCTACCCAGATGAGAATAGCTGCCCGGGGGTCTGATTCAGTCTGGTGCAAGCCCAGGAGGTCAGGCTCCCACTGCACTCCCACCAGGACTCTGTGGAGCGCGCCTACTTTGCTGTGTTTGATGGTCATGGAGGAGTGGATGCTGCAAGGTATGCCTCTGTCCATGTGCATGCCATCACTTCCCACCAGCCAGAGCTACTCACAGACCCAGCAGCAGCCCTCAAAGAAGCCTTCCAGCGCACTGATGAGATGTTTCTCTGGAAAGCCAAGCGAGAGGTGAGAACTGGCAGCTGGGTCTAAAGTGCTGTTTGGGGACCTGTAGCTGTTAGCACCAGAGATGAAGGAAAACAATAGTGGTTGGTGACTCAGGAGGGAAGGGTCTCACCAAGAACTGCTGGCATCGTGATATTTCATTCCTTCAGGTGTGGGGCTCAGTTTCCATTTGAGTGGAGGCAGCTCAAAGTCTGTCTATTGTACTTGTCTTGATTTCCATCGCCATAACAAAATAATTGAGGTTGAGTCACTTTATAGAGACAGGTTTATTTTGACTCAGTTCAGGATATGCAAGACATATGGCCTTCTTGATAATGGACTTGCTAGTAGTATGCCATTGTAGCTACAAGCAAGAAATAGAGAAAGTGAAAGAGAGAGAGAGAGAGAGAGTGTGTGTGTATGTGTGTGTGTGTGTACAGATCATGCATGTGCACATGTATGGGTGTATATATGTATCTTCTAGGCTCCCTTCATCTCCCAAGGCCACCAGGACCTAACTATAAAAGCTCTACCCTCTACCCTATCCATTCATGGCTTTATCCAGCCCTAGTCACCTCCCAGCAAAGTCATCTTCCCCAATACTATAGCTGGCGTTTTTACCCTAATATCTCATGATGGAAATGAAGTTATAGCACATAAAGCCTTGGGGCCTGTGAAGGACAACACTCCTGGGCCACCATGTTGGATCTCCACAACATGGACATGGTCTGCCAACCGAGAAGAGAGCTGCCTGAGTTAAAATACAGGCTGGTTCCTTCAGCTAAGCATGGTAGAATGGCAGACTAGTACTTAAAAGAATTGATCACACCAAGCAATGGTGGCTCTTGCCTGTAATCCTAGCACTAAGAAGGCAGAAGCAGGTGGATCTCTGTGAGTTCTAGGCCAACCTGGTCTACTGAGCAAGTTCTGGGACAGCCCCCAAAACTACAGAGAAACCCTGTCTCAAAAAAACAAACAAACACAAAAGAATTGATCACTTACAGTTTGTGTGAGCCAGAGATATGGGGCAGGGAGACAAGCTTGGTTTCCCAGGAATCTACCTGCCAGCAAGGTCAGTACTGGGTACCCTAAATAACCCATGCTAGTCCAAGCTAACTAGTGCCAGGAGAACTTAGACCTGTAGGTGAAAGAGGTGGCTTTGGGGGCATGGGCTCTAGACTATCTGGCATGCCAATGAAAGGTAATACTAACAGCGGGCTTTTGTGTCACTAAAAGTTCAACAGCTTTAGGAGTGGTGGTCTCACCAAGATCAACAAAGCCCCAGATATCAATTCATCTAAAAACAAGGCAAGCAAACAGAAAATATAAACCGTGGTTAACAACTGTCCCAGTAGCCCTTGTTCAGCCAGGTCTCAACAGGCTACTAGTAGCCACTGGAAACTTCTCTTCTTGGAGTGGCAGTATGCATAGGGATGAGGCCCTTGTTTATGAAAAAAGGCAATGGGCCTCTCCTCTGTGGCCTAAAGCCAATCTCACTGGGCCCTCCCAGCAGCAGTGAGGACAGGGTCTAATACTGTAGTCATTTTAAACACTGAGACACTGAAGCTTAAACAGCTTAAGAAACCAACCCCAGAAATGGTTCTGCACAGTCCTGCAACACACACAAAGAGCATCAGATGGCCAGTGAGCAAGGAAACCATGCTGCCCAGAGTCTGGAAGACCTCAGGCCCAGCCAGAGCTTCTGTGATAGAGGTCACCATGGAATAACAGAACTCTGGAGAAAGATTCTCAGTCATCATACAGTGACCAAAAGACCCCAGTGGAATACAGCAGACCTGAATTCTGTTCCTCATCGGAAAGCTATGGAATATCTAAAACTCCAGGGGGAGACTAGTGACCTCCATCACATCCAGCAAGTGAAGCAGGCCACAAGATTAGGGTTACCCCTCAATAGGGGAAGAAGTTTCTTAAGCAGGTGTTTAGTTTCCTTTCCTTGCTTGCTTCTCACACTGGGGATCAAACCTAGGGGCCTTGAGTGAATAGCACAAGTCTACCACTGATCTACACCTTTAGCCACTTTGTTTGTTTGTTTGTTTGTTTGTTTTTGCTTTTGCTTTTTTTGAGACAGGGTTTCTCTAACAGTTCTGGCTGTCCTGGAACTCTCTTTGTAGACTAGGCTGGCCTCAAGCTCCACCTGCCTCTGCCTCCCAAGTGCTAGGATTAAAGGCATGTGCCACCACTGCCCAGCCACTTTTATTTTTTTATACGGATTTGCTGAGATGCAATCCGAGTATATGTTGTATTCGTTTACAGTATACAGCTGGGAAAGTTTTGACTTACACATACACTCATGAAGTCATGCCTCAATATTGGTCATGTCTGAATCTTCTTCCAGCTCCCTGTGGTCTCTGCCCCATTCCTGTCCTTCCATTCCTGTTCCCACTATCAGTAGTCCACTTCCTGCCACCTCAGGCCATCTTGCCAGTTCTAGCATGGGGTATGCAGGGGTTCCTGTAGGACTTTCATTCACCACACAGCATGAAAACTCTATCCATGAGTATAGCTGTGGGGTCCTTTGTGGAGGTTCACCTTCATCCTCAGTCCTCAAACCTACCTGGTCTGCTTCTGTCCCTGCAGCGACTGCAGAGTGGCACCACAGGTGTGTGTGCGCTTATCTCGGGAACAACCCTGCACATTGCCTGGCTTGGAGACTCCCAGATCATCCTGGTACAGCAGGGCCAGGTAGTGAAGCTGATGGAGCCACACAAACCAGAGCGACAGGTAAGAGGTGCCCTTCATCCAAGCTTAAGACAATCTCAAGCCCCACTGTGCTGGGCCCCACTTGGGGACCCAAGTCTGGGGACCTAACGGGGAAGTGGAATGCCAGGAGGTCCCAGCTCAATATTGTTGGGGTAAACTAAGAAGTATAAAGGGTCCAGAGGATACCCGTGCCCCTGCAGAAGGAGGGTTCCTTTGCCTGAAGGGGGTCCCATGAGAGCCCAGAGGTTCACACAAGAACAGGGCCTTGTGCCCTAACAGATAAGCCCAGAAATGGAGCCTGCAGGGCCTGCACTCAGGCAGCACAGGATCCTGCAACACCAACAGGAAAAGAGCGGAAGTCCACTGGTGAGAGTGAGCAAGGAAGCTACACTGCCCAGAGTCTGGAAGACCTTAGGCCTGGAGCTTCAGTAGGTAGAGGCCACCCTGGAATAATAGATCTCTCAAGTCACTCAGCCTCTTTTGTCTTGAGGTCATTACCTTGACATTTGAGTTACAGGTGCTCAGATCCTGGTCTCACAAATGTATATAGTCTGTCTCTTAGAGTCAAAAAGGGAATGCTTAGAATCAAGGAATGCCTCTGCCACACCTCCCCCAACCCTGCTTTCCTCATGCTCCTCTCTGCCTTGTGTCACATAATTGTACAGCTGGAACCTCCCCTCATCAGCACATAAAGCTTCCACCCTTTCTTACAGACACAGGATCGTCTTACATCCCCAGTCCATTCCCCAAGTCACAGTATTCACCATTGTCTTCTTCCCATTCTGAAGTATGGCAGCAATAACTGTACATCACATGGTCCAGGCTTGGGTGTCTGCACAGCAGGCTCTCGGGAGCAAGGATGCTAAGTCACGGTAGAGAGACTGCAGTCTTGGAGATTTGCCCTGCTTCTGTCTGCAGCATGGACCAACCTAAGTTGGTCACTGCTGCTGAGAGGCCATTGTCCAGTCTCACCAATCCATAGGGTCTGCCCGTGTGTTTCGTGACATTTCATGGAGAGAAATAAACAAATGCCTGTTTACTCCAGACCAGACTCACTTCACACACTAGTGAGTGAACCAGGAATTTATTAGGATTGCAGGTAAGTGCACCATGAAAAAAACCTACCCCAGGCTCATGAAGACTTCGTCCCTGCGGCTTCCTGTACAACATTCTGGGCCTCTCAAACCCTAAAAGTCCAGGGAACTTCTCTCCCTCCAAAAGGGTCTAGTTCAGTTGGAAGGAAATCATTATGCAACACCAACTGGAAGGCAAGGACACCTCATTTTCTCTTCATTTTCTCTTTCAGAGTTAGTTTTAGTTTCTTCATTTGTGTGTTTGTTTTTTAGGTAGATTCTCCCTATGTAGCTCTGCGTGGCCTGGAACTTGCTATGTAGCCCAACCTGACCTCAAATTTAAGACAGTCCTTGTGCCTCTGCCTCTTAGGCACTCAGATTGCAGGAGTGAGCTACCACACCCAGCCTTCCAGAGTAAATTTAAATATATTTTGTTGTTATTAAGATTTTATTACTTTTATTTATGTACGTGTTTGCCCACATGTGTGTGATCTACATTTGTACCTGGTAGCTGCAAAAGCAAGGAGAGTACCAGATGCCCCAGAACTGTAGTGGCAGGCGGTAGTGATCCACCATGTGGGTGCTGGGTGCTGGGACTGAATTAGGTTCTCTACAAGAACAGCCATGCTTTTAACCACTAAGACACTAGGCATCTCTCCAGCTCTTGAACATCTTTTCAGAAGTTCAAAATCATTGCATTCTTTACTGCATGCACTCTGTCCTTTGCCTGTTTTGTTGTTGTTGTTGTTTGTTTTTTGTTTGTTTGGTTATCATTTTTGTGACTTTGGGCACTACAGCCATGTTAGGGGGCTCACCTCCTGCCTGGAGACTTGGACATGTTCCCCACACATTCATCTTTTGTCATGTAAAGACAGGTAGCAGTCAGGGACATGGCTCCTGGTTTGAAAGGCACATGTGTTTGTGCTACTGTATAGAAGAGAAAAACAAGGTTCAGTCATTTGCCCAAAGCACATAGCTAAGCTGAAAGCCTCTGTCACTCTGTTTCCACCACAACCACAAAGGATTGACATCTGTTCCCTGGCAGGCCCTCTTTCCCTGGGCAGGTAAAATAGAGCCAGGTCTGGATGAGTGGCAGCCTTTGCCCAGGGGCTGAATAGTTTCCCACTGCCAACTGTAGGTTGTAGTCTGTGTCCTATAACCCCTTTTCCACCCAGTCCTGAGCCCTGTGAGGTCCTAGCTTGACCCTCCCAAGCCTCTGGGCTTGTCTGTCAGGCAGGGTCCCTGGATGGTATGGGATGAAGGTGGAAGTAGTGTCTGCACAGGAGATGCACACATGCAGCTTGCCAGAGCCGAGAGCAGGCCCCAGCTCCTTCCCCACCCTGCCAGCTCTTGCCTGCGATCCCTGTCACTGCTTACCAGCCGCCAGCAAGATAATTAAACATCTGTACAGAGACCCCTGCTGAAGCCAGGGCCACAATAGGAACACATGAACCTGAGAGCATGAGAGCTTCAGAGAGGGCCCAGAAACCACCACAGTGACTCTTGAAGGTTGTGTGGGGACTTGTGATGGTATCTTATCCTGAAGTTGTCTAAACAGAGCCCATACTACTCCTGGCCTCAGTTTAGGCCAACTGACATTCAGTGTCTACTTCTTAAGATGCTTTTTCTAGGCAGCAAGATGATAAAACAAGACCCAGTACCCTCTGCCCAGGCACTCTTGTTTGGGAGCAAAGCAGGGCATAGCAGTGAGGGTGGAAGACCCAGGTCAAGTACTGTGGACAAAGCACATAGGCGTGGGCTGGTCATGAAGACTGGTGTGATTGCAACAAGTCAGTGTTGAGAGAGCCAGCGGGTTATGCACAGTGGAGAAACTCCTCAAGGAGTCACCACCAACCCTCATCATGGCCAGGCCACTAGAGGGCAGGCTGAGCTCTGGTCTCAAAAGAGTTGAGTGGGGCTGAGGTTGTGGTGGCATCTGCAGTTACAGATCTGTGGCCTCAGGAGGGAGGAATCCAGGCTTTGGGGAAAGGGCCTTGGGTGCTGATGACTGAGTGGTGTAGAGACCTTGCTGAGTTCAGCCTGATGCCAGGGAAAGGGGTACTGTGGCTGTTAATAGCAACTGCTGAACTATCAGGCTTCAGCTGCAGAGAGGCTGTTTTGGGAGGTGGAGAAGATAAAGCAGGGGGAACTAAGGGGAGGGTGTCAGAGGAAACAGGCAAGGATGGGTGGCTTGCACTTGGAACAAGTGTGATCATAGAGCGAGGCTGTGATCAGTACAGACTGAGGAGAAATCCAAGAAAGGGAAGAAAGACCAGGATAGGACCAAGGTTACAGGGCCAAGCTCTGCATGGTCAACTAGCTCAGCACAGTACTGTAAATCCTGGTGCCCAGCTCAATCCTGTTCCCACAGCCAAATATCTCAGGACCTGGAGCTTCAAAAAGGAGGGCTCTGCAAGAAGCCTCATGGAGGTCCTGCCCCAAGGAAGGTGTAAAGTCAGGTTTATAAAACAAGTCAAATAGGGATATGAGTGACCTCCTTCATCCAGGAGATACTTTTGCCCCAGAGGGCACAAGGCATGTACTCACTCAGCCTTTAACACTAGACTCCAGGAGACAGACTACATGTGGGAGACCTCTCCCCAAAGATCACTGACAGAACCAAAGACTTTGCAGGTACTTGTGGCTAAACCAAGCCTCTGCCCATCCCCTTGCAGTCAGGGTTGGAACACAATGACCCTCTAGCAAACAAAACAATGCCTAGGAATGAGCAGGGAGAGGGATAACCAAGGGCTGCCTCTCATGGCCTGGCTCCAGTGTATGTCCTGCCATGTTGCCTTCTATACACAGTACATGCTTCACTCAGCAGTTTTCAAGGTAGACATAGAATTAATAACCCTCCGAGTCTGAGCTGACACCAGTCTCCTGCCTCAAGAGTATCTTCTTGACCCAAACACTGCTCAGAGATGCGTCATGGGTTACAAGGGTGACCCCTTTCTTGTCCCATTCCTTGATTAACCAGCCATTCCCCAGCTATAAGATAATGAGGTTAGTTACAGTTGACTGTGTTTTTCATGATGTCTGATTTAGAGATCTAGCTAAGCCTCTTGACTTGGTTCAAGTGCTTTGGCTTTAAATATGTCTTAGTGACTTAAGTTCTACTTATATAGTAGACATTTGAGTCCCCAAGTTCCCATCTAATGACTGTCTCTTGCAGGATGAGAAAGAACGTATTGAAGCGCTGGGTGGCTTCGTTTCTCTCATGGACTGCTGGAGAGTCAACGGGACCCTGGCAGTGTCTAGAGCCATTGGTAAGGGGTACACCAGGGTCACTGGGGGGGGGGGGTACGACACAGGCTTATTCGGTTGACTTAGAGAAGAATAATGTTACATTAAGTACTCACAGCATATAAACCTCTTAGATGTACAGCGGCCTCCAAATAAACCATGATAAACTAAAATTACTGTACTCAGAATGTGATCCGCCCAACCTAGTGGACCCCAGCATGGCACAGTCTAGGAGAGTGTCAGCAGTTGCCTCCAGGATCCCAGACTATTGTAAGCAGCAGTTCTCTGCTGCTTCCTCAGCACTGAGAGTGTTGGGCCAGGTTGATCTACCCAGGAGAAGCTCGGGTTCAGGTGTAGTTTCTATACACACACACACACACAGAGAGAGAGAGCGAGAGAGAGAGAGCGAGAGAGAGAGAGAGAGAGAGAGAGAGAGAGAGAGAGAGAGAGAGAGAGAGAGAGAGAGAGAGAGAGAGTCCAGAAATTATTAAATAAGAAGAGTGGCTTGTTTAGTAAAATGTCTACCTAGCATGCACAAAGTCCTGGGTTCAATTCCCACTTGTGCACTCATTAAATCAGGCATGCTGGCATATAGCTGTGGTCCATCCCCAGCCTTCAGGAGGTGGAAGAGAATCAAAAGTGTAAGGTTATCCTGGGCTATATAGGGTGTTTGAAGCCAGCCTGGGCTAGAGATCTTGACTCCAATAATAATCAAGTAGAAACAAAAAATCAGGGATACTCTATAGGTCCCCCTAAAATACAGTAGAAAAGAACTAACCACAAATGGTTCTTTTGTTCCCTGTAAAACAATGTTCAAGATCCATTTTCCTCTTGGAAAATAGCTTCCCATTTTTCTCTGTATGCCACCACTGCTGGGACTACACCTGCCCCTTCCAGTAACTCCATCTCCATGTAGTCCCTGGGAGTCTGGCATCTGCCCTTCTCACCCTCTTGTAGTCTCTGTTGGCTTCTTCCTCAGAGCTATCTTTATCCCGCTATAGCTATTTATCTCTGGACACACTGTAGGCGGTAACCATTCCTGGAGCGAGAACTGCTGTAGAGCTGGGGGATGATGCCTCTGCTCCCAGGAGAGTGGGAAGCACTAGGCAGGAGACTCCTCAAGAGCCAGCTGCACCTATATGAAGGCTCTGCTTCCACATGCCCTTGGGGATGGAGATAGGAGGTTGGTCCTGGGCTTGTGGGCAGTAGGAAACAAGGCTCTTTGTCCATTCCAGGGGATGTCTTCCAGAAGCCCTATGTGTCTGGTGAAGCAGATGCAGCATCCCGAGATCTAACAGGCTCAGAAGACTACCTGTTGCTCGCCTGTGATGGCTTCTTCGATGTGGTCCCCCACCAGGAAGTCTCGGGTCTTGTCCATGGCCACTTGATCAGGCAGAAGGGTTGTGGGTTACATGTTGCTGAGGAGCTAGTGGCTGTGGCCCGTGACCGGGGCTCCCATGATAACATCACAGTTATGGTAGTCTTCCTTAGGGACCCCAAAGAGCTGCTGGATGGTAGAGCCCAGGGAACAGGGAATGCCCAAGCAGATGTAGGAAGCCAGGGCTTGCCCACTAGCCTCATAGAACTTGAGACCAATACCTCACAGAGAAGCTAAGAGGTCCAGGCCTCCAGGGCCCCATCCTGACTCCCCTCTACCCTTGTGACCCTCCCTTCAAAGATCTTAGATCCAACAGGTATAATGGGCAGGGGTATATGTCCTCACAGCATTCCCTTAGCACCCCAGCCCTTCGTGCCTCCTGACAGTCTGTCCCCAGAACTGCAGAAGGCAGCAAGTAGCTCTCAGAAGGAAGCATAGGAAAATGACCTCACCAAAGAGAAGATGGCTGAGGTGGTCCCTGCAGTACAGGGCTGAAGACAGAAGCCACAGGCACCTGTTGGCAGCCTAAGCAAAAACACAGGTCAAGTCTTAGGAGACCCTCACACAGACCTTTCAGGCCTATCCTGGGGTAAGGGCTGCAGCCAGGTGTCTGGCCCAGGCTTGTGGCTTCTTGCTGTACCCAAGGCAGGGAGGTTTCTGACAGACAGGCTCGTAGTCCTGATTTGGCCTTGCTGGGAGGAGCACCAGGGGACTGGCCCACTGCCACTCTTAACTGAGTTCTAAGGCCATTAGGGTATTCTAGACCTCTCCCTTGAGCATCTTAGGGAGGTGAAGTCAGGTGTGTATATATGTGTGTGTGTCTGTGTGTAGTGTGTTGTTTGTGTACTTAGATTTATTGCAGGGAAAGGTCCAATCGAGAATCAGTGTTCAGGTTTTTATCATGTTTTATCAGTGCCAAGCTGACCCACAAGGTCATGTAATTTAAGCTAAGCTTAGCATTTATTTTATTCCTGAAAACTTAAGTATTTTACTTTTTTATGTATTCATGGAGACATTTGCAGTATTACTGGGGTTTTTTTCCTGAATCAGGATGGAAACCAACCTTTCCAGGCTGTGTTAATAAGCCACTTAAGTGCCTTAAACAGCTTTGAGAACTATTGGGCCAGCCATGGACCCTGATAGGCAGACATGTCAGGTTCTCAGAAAGGTAGCAATTTGTTGTGGGAAGGCATACTTAGGGCTTCCTAAAAGTGATTAGCAGAGGCTGTGACTATGGGCATGTGGGATGACCGTGGCCTCACCCTTGGAGTCTGGCTGAATCCAACTAGGAAAACCTTGCTGCTCTTAGACTAGAAGTTTTAGAATCTCTTAGTATATTTGTAGTGTCATTGAGGACAGTGCATAGTTAAGGAACTTCGAGGAGCCTAGCAGTCCACCTCCTTGGGGAAGCTGCTAGCAGTCTGCCACCATGGTCACCACCTGTCTCCTATGGCTGGTGTCCTTCTCTGCTGGACTCTGTCCTCTACTGAGCAATATGAAAGACCTGCACATCCCTAGAGCAGTGGTGTCTGGGTGCTTGGAGAGCTAAGATGTATAAAACCAGGCAAGGAAGCCAGGCAGAGGGAGGGGTACCCAAGGTAAAAGGACTAAAGAAGCCCCCAGAGAGAGCCAGTGTGAGTCAAGACTGCTCCATGCAGATGCCTGCAGAGGCTCAGGGGGGTTGGGGCAGTGTTGGAAAGAAGCTTGGCTGTGAGGTCCCGTGGAGAGGATGATAGCTCACCAGTGGAGAGCACAGCATCAGCAAGGCTTGCAGAGCTTGGCTCAGTGCACCTAAGCCCTCTCAAAAGAAGCAAGGAGCACATACTTTTGCCCCTGAGGCAAGTCCACTGTCCAGCAGTGTGGGAGAGGGAGTCAGCTTTGGTTGGACATACCACCTCTCTGCTTGGCATTCACCCATATCAGGGATTGAGGAGTTTGGGCCATGTAGTTGATTTCTTGGTCAAGGTCTCCTGATGGAAGCATCCTAAACACTTAGATGATTGCCCACCATAATGACTGGTGTCCTCTCAGAACAGGGATGTGGTAGTAGATCCAGCCTACCTGTAGCAATGACCTTGATAGAGGGACATATTGACATTTGTTTTCTCCCTTTTTTGCTAATCTCATTCTGTTCATTGCTGGTAAGAATAGAATTTAGGCCCACATAGATGTCCCTTGATGGTCTGATTCATACTCGCATATAAGGTTGTACCAGATTCCAAGGCCTCAGTGTAAAGGGAAGCCTCTTTCCCAGGCTTCTCTGAATGCCTCCCTCTTTCCCTCAGTCCATTTGCAGTAGTGATTGCCAAGCCCCTGCCGAGCAGTAGTCCAGGACCAACACTAGGCGCTGCCCCTTCCTCTCCTGATGGCCAAGGGAGAGCTGGCCTTGTGCTGGTTCGTGAACTCTTATTCTATCCTGACTGGGTATGCCAGTGTCTAGCCTACAAGACTTCTTGGCCATTCCCTTATCCCAAGAGGATCCCCTAACCAGAGTGACCCTGTTTCTTAAATCCTAGCTTTGCCACCGTCTCATTGCATGAACTGAACAAGGCACTGTACCCCTCTGGCCTCAGTTACCCTTTGGTAAGGCAAGAAGGGGATGCACAGTCACCAGTCCCTCCAACCTAGAATCTCAGAGTATAGGGGCTATTCAAGGCCACTGCCAGAGCAGAGAAGCCCATCCTCTACCCAGTAGAGAGGGTTAAGTATTATTAGTGTCTATTCTTAAAATTAAGTGGGCTGGAAAAGAGCTGAGTTACAGGTGCCAGTGTCTTGCTTGGATACAAAAACTAAAGCAGTTAAGCCACCTCCCAGCTAAGCCTGTAGGAGTAGGATGTGGGAGGGCACAGGCAGGCTTTAAGGGATTTAGTCAGAAACCAGCATAGGAAGGGGTGTGGAAGCAAGGTGTCTGCAGCATAGCTTTGGGGGTCTCGGAACTCATAATGGGAGAGGTGTTGGGGTAGCCCTTGCCCTCTTGGGTCCTGCATGCAGTGCACCCTCATCCCATCATAGGTCTCAGCATAGGTGTCCTGGCTACCTCAGCTGTATTCTCAGGGCCAGGAGGAAGGCCCTGGCCATACTGTAGGGAAGCCAGGCCACCTTGTGTAAAGCAAGCTGTGTTTCTGGCTTGATACTGCCTCTGTGCCCTCCAGGGATCATCTTCAGGAGTTCTGTGCTTGTCCTGGACTCTACAGATTTACCAAACACACTGAGCTTTGCCATTTACATGCCATGTGAGCCTTGCCAAGGATTTATTTCGGGGGCTTCCTGGGAGTCATATGCAATAGTGAGTCTTGTTCTAAGATACCATGTTTCTCTAATCTTAGGGACAAGTGTGATGAACTCAGAAGGAAAGTCTCCTGGGCCCTTTGTTGATGTCAATAAACCGTATATTCAAGATCCTGAGTACCATTTGCATCTCCCTCGGAGTATCTGTCTGTAGTTCTGTATCACTGACAAAATACTTAGCAGAAAAACTTTCCAAAGGAAGGTATTGGCTAAAGGTATTCTAGACAGTTCAGCCCAAGGTTGATCCCATGTGCTTGAACAGGATGTAATGGCAGGAACATGTAACAGACTTGATGGGTGTCTACCTCAAAGCCAACCCAGGAGATGGCAGGACCCACACCAAGTAATTGGGAGACATTTTGGATTCAGGACCCTGTTGGTGTCCAGAAAATGTTTTGAAGCTGCTGAGAGAATGAATACCTAGCCAGGTGGTCCTAGTTGTCTTCCTGACACTGTCTGTCCCACCAGCCATGGGGGCCAGGCCCCTTGGGATCTCCAGCATCGTCAGTGGTGCCTCACCACAGCCAAGAGCCTGAAATGGCTCAGGTGTTTGTCCACTGAGACCCCTGCCTGCTGCCTGCAACTCTCTTCTTCCTGCATATAGGGCCTTTGAACAGGGCAAGGGTAAGGGCTCTCAGCCGAGGGATGCATAGTGGGGAGCATGGCTACTGAGCCCTGAGTGACTGTACTAAGCTCTCACACTGGTTTCTGAGGCAGAGTTATGAAACATTCTTTTTCCGTATTTAGATTTTCCCTGAGTTCTGTTTTCTTAAAAGAGCAAACATGCTTTTTTTTTTTTTTTCAGTCAAATTTTATTTCAGTAGAACAAGATGAATATTAAAATACTCTATTTTGGGATATATTATCTCCAGATACCCAAATGAATTAGTTTCTTTCACATTACTGTGACTTAAAAAACAAAAAAACATGACAAAAAGCAAGTGACAGAAGAAGATTCCAGAAGAGCACAATCTGTCTGGATGGGGAAGACATCAGGAGCATGAGGCCAGCCCAGCAGCTTGGAAGACCAGATAGATATCATCTCATCCACACAGAGGAAGCAGAAAAAGACCAGAAAGTGGGGCCAACGATTAGCCTTCAAAGCCCACCCCCAATGACCCACGTCCCCAGCAAGTTTCCAAGCAGTGCCACCAGCTGAGAACAAATGTTCAAATGCACAAGCCTGTAGGGTGCAGCCCTGGCTGTCCTGGAACTCACTCTGTAGACCAGACTGGCCTCAAACTCACAGAGGCGTGTGCCACAACCCAGCATGGGGTGCATTTCGTATCAAGCCACAACACCAAATAATCTTAAAACACCCCTTAGAAGTCTTTCACTAAGGGGAGTCGTAAAGAACTTGGTGTTGCTATGGAAACAAACTGCAGCACAGTGCTGTGCCAGGATTTACACAGTTCCATAACTGAATCAAGTCAAAAGGTTTTGTTTGCTATGTCTAGAAACCATTTTTGCCAAGAGCTACTGTGGTATCTGACTCATAGAGAGCATGCTTTAGGCTGGACAGTGGTGGCACACACCTTTAGTCCCAGCACTCAGGAGACAGAGGCAAGCGGATCTCTGTGAGTTCAAGATCAGCCTGGTCTACAGAGTGAGTTCCAGGACAGCCAGAGCTGTTACAAAGAAAAACCCTGTCTCGAAAAACCAAACTCCCCTCCCCAAAAAATAAGGAAGAAGCTTGTGAGATCTTCTGGTAGCATAAGAGAAGGGTGCTAAGAGCCAGTGTCTCTCTACAGACCTGGCAATGGCCTGGGTAGCCAGATGGATCCACAGTCCAAGTAGCTAAGTTAAGGGAATGGAGGACAACAGCCTGGGAAGTCCCTCTCAGTGGAGGGCTTCAATATTAGACTTCTAGTGAAGGGTCTGGGACTACATGGCCCATTGGCTAGAGAGACTGGTGCTTCAAAGTTTTAAATAGGTTAGGAACCTATCTCAGAATCATTAGAGCAGGTGGACCAGGCAGTGGTGGCTCACAACTTTAATCCCAGCACTCAGGAGGCAGAGACAGGTGGATCTCTGAGTTCGAGACCAGCCTATTCTACAAAAGCTACACAGAGAAACTGTCTTGAAAAACAAACAAAAAGAATCATTAGAGCAGGTGGCCTTTAAGAGAGACATGCCTGGACCCACCCAACTCCTCATTTGACTCCAGACCTGCAGTCTTCTGTTCTCCACAGTGACCTCCAGCTCACCCTGGGGACAGCCAACAGCTGACTGATTTGCTCTTAGAGGCCTCAGCTGTGGTAAGTACATGCAGAGTGAAGTAGACTGGAACCCCCAGGATGCAGGAAACCTGCTCTTCAGGACACCCAAAAGCCCTCTCTGTACCCTTCGGGATCAATATATAATTTCAAGTCCAGATGACTGAGAAGCCACCAGTGGCAGGATTCAGTCTAGCCATGTAGCAGACACTAGCCTGGCATGTGTAACACAGCCCCTGATGCTGGGATGAGGGCAGCCCAAAAGCCAGCCACCAAGTCTCCACCAAGAGTGGAAGATACACTGCCTGTCAAGCCTCCGGTGGTAATTCTTCAAACTAAGGAAGGAGTGATTTTTCAGAATCCCCAACTGTAGTTTCTACCAATTGGTTTGTGATTCCTTCATCAAACAGGAAAGTAGCAAGCCTTAGCTGCAGCAGCTTCAGGGACCCACAAAGAATATAAAGCTGCCAACATGAAGAACACCCTCAAAATGCCAGTGAAGATAAGAGAGGGGTCATGCAAAACAAAGTAGGAAAATAACATAAGGTCTTCCAATAAACCTCACTCTGCATCCTGAACTGATCCCTAGAACTAGAAGAGACCTGTGTACCTTAAGCTTCCAGGAGGGTTTACCAGCCTAGGCCTGCCACACCCCACCCTCCTCAGCCTGTCTCAGCCCAGGCCAGGTCCACTCTGCCTGTGCCTCTGGGCCTCTGCTGCTCCCCAATGTCTGTCTTGTTTCTCCCCATCCCACCCCACCCCCACCCCATCACCAGACTGGCTTCATGGAAGGCACCTTCATCTGCTGCTGTTGGGCCTGGGGAGAGGGAATGGGGATGCTGGGGTATGGCAGAGCCACACAAAGAGGCAGGAATTCTTTTTTCTTCTTCTTCTTTTTTTTTTTTTTCCTTTTGTTCTGTCGCAAATGTACATAATGCACACACTTACAACCCATCCTGTCACCTCTCCCTACTACTCCATAAACCCCTTCTCTCCCGTACAAATTTCTTTTCTCTGACTAGTGGGCTGGTGCCTAGCCTGTCCCCAGAGCTCCCTGCCCCCAGGGGACACAGCTGCCCACTAGGCAACAAGCCCAGAAGAAAATAATGCCAACATGCAAATCTGGGGGTTCCTGCTCAGGCCCTGCCCCCCTGCTACCCACGCATCCATCTGTCTTCCCCTCCCCCCACCCACACAACTCCTCCAGAGCTCCTGGCAAAGCCTCCTTAAGTATATGCTGCCTTACTGCTCCCTGATGAGTTGTCTCGTGTATCTGAATCTCCAGATGGTGGTTTGCACTCCCCCTGTCCTCCAATTGCATGAAGTTTGACACCTTCTCTCAGAGCAACCAGATGGGCATGGGGGAGGCCTGAAGGACAAGTGTGATGGGCAGATAGGTGCAAGCTGGAGGTACTTCACCCAATTGACCAAGCTACCAGGATAGGACAGGAGATAAGTGTTAGACTCAGCCAGGAAGAGAACAGGAGCCACAGTCTGCTGGAGTAGGTGAGATTGGGCCCAACGAGGGCTTCCTTCTGAGGAAGGGAACCTGAAAGCCAGGTCTCTGGGCTGGGTCTGGAATATAACAGAACCAGGGAAAGAGAGGCAGGAATCCTGGCTAGCAAACTGATATCTAAATTAACTATACGTCTCTCCACTCAAGAGTCCTACATACCCATCTCAGCCTCATCAGCTTGTCTAAGTCCCAGATGGTCAAAAGAGGACTTGAGATGGGACCCTTGGCACATAGGTCACCATGTAGCCATAACCCCAGCACTTAAGAGGCCAAAGAAGAGAACTTAAATCTCAAAGCCAGCCTGGCCTTATACTGGAGAACCTTTTTCAAAAACTCAAAACAAGAGGCTAGGGGAGACAGCTCTCCTGCTAAAGTATTTTTGCCTTGCAAGCAAGAAGACTTGAGTTCAGTACTTAGAATCCATGATTTTAAAAAGCCAGACTTGATGGTGTATGTCCCAGAACTGGGGAGCCAGACAGGAGGATTCCTGGTGTTCTTTAGCCAACTGGCTGTGTTAAAATTTTTCAGAAAAACAGAAGCAATAGAATTAATACATATTAAAAGAGATTTTTTAGATTGGCATATATATTTATTAGATTGACATTAGACTGGGTAGTCCAATAATGGTTATGTCACATCATAAAGGTCAAGAATCTGGCAGTTGCTCATCCATGAGAGCAGGTTGCCTGCTAGGTGCCAATCTTCAGTCTACTGTAGAAGCCTTAAAAAGCTGGTTCTAAAATCAATGAGGGGTGTAGCAGTGGGGTACAGTTTTAATCCCAGCACCGGGGAGGCAGAAGCAGGAGGATTTCTGTGAGTTCAAGGCCAGCCTGATCTACAGAGGGAGTTTCAGGACAGCAAGAATTACATGGACTATCTCAAGAATGAAGGAAAGGGAAAAGAAAGGAGAGTATGGGAGGGGGGAAGGAGAGGAGGGGGGAGTGCCCAGCTCTTAGTTAATAGCAGATAATTCATCCCAAAAACGTAGCATACTTGGCAAATTCTGGGTCAGTGAGAGACCAACTCCCCAGAGAAAAGAATAAATAGGAAAGGTGGGTGGCATTTGATGAAGAAATGACACCTGAGGGGTAGTTCTCTCTCTGTCTCTCTCTCTCTCTCTCTCTCTCTCACACACACACACACACACACACACACACACACACACACACACACACACACACACGCCAAAACAAACAAAAATTATTTTACCTAACAATAGCCTAAAGCACATTGAGGCAGGGACCCTGTTGGGAACATATTGAGTGAACACCTGCTGGGGCCCTGGATAGTTGGGAACTAGTGCTCATTATAGTAAAATCAGTTACTTCTGGATGATTAGATGCTATAGGTTTTTATATACCAAAAAAATGTATTTTCTTTTTGCTTCTTTGTTTGTTTGTTTGTTTATTTTAGACAGGATCTCATGTATCCCAGACAGGCCTTGAACTCCTGATCATCCTGCCTCCACCTTCTGAGTACTGGAA